CACCTCAGCCTCCCAAAGGCGCGGGATTACAGGCTGAGCCACCGAGCCCGGCTTGGGAGGTTTTTATTTTAAGGGCTCCAGTGATGGTGGCCAGCAGCCAGCAGAACCCCCTCCTCCTCCGGGAGGTCCGTCTTTGTCCAGGCCTTCAACGGATTGGATGAGGCCCACCCACATTATGGAGTGTCATCTGGCTTACTTCAAGCCCACTAACTTAAATGTTATTCCCATCTAAAAAAATACTCTGGCAGAGACACCTAGAATAACATGTGACCAAAAGCCTGCGCACCATGGCCCGGCTAAGTGGACACATAAAAAATCAGCCGCCAGGGCCAGGCATGGTGGCTCCTGCCCGTCGTGCCAGTGCTGTGCGAGGCTGAGGCGGAAGGCTCTCTTGAAGCCAGGATCAAGACCAGCCCTGGCCACAGGCAAGACCCGCCTCGCAAAGCTTTCCGCTCAGCTGGGCGTGGTGGCACCCGCCGGTGGTGCCGGAGACCCAGGAGGCTGAGGCGAGGGGATCGCTTGAGCCCAGGAGCTGGGGTGGCCGTGAGCTGTGGTCGCGCTGGGTTCTCCAGCCTGGGCCACGGGGTGAGACTCCGTGGAAAGGAAGCAGGTGCAGAGCATGAGCCATCACGCTGGCCCACGGCCTCCGTGCTGAGCTTTCTCCCCCCAGCGCCAGAGCCGGGTGTTCCGTGGCCCCTCTCCTCCCCGAGGGCACAGCCCCGCCCCCGCCGAGGCTGGCCACCCACAGGCCCGCGGGCACCGCCCGCATGGGATCAGGCTGCAGCTGGGCGGGGTCCTGGGTCATCGCCAGCTCGGGCGTCCTGCGGGGTGAGCCCGGGGAAGAAGGATCCTGGCCGGCTGCACGTCAGCTGCGTGGCCTGGGGCAGTCACTTGACCTCTCCGAGCCTCGGGCCTGTGCTGGGTCGACGCGGTGCCGGTGGAGCTCGCGCTCAGGCCGCCTGCAGCGTTCCCTGCGCCCCCTTGGTGACGGTCACCCACGCTCATGGCGGTTGTTGATGTCCCCGAAGGCGCGGCCGGGCCCAGCCCGCCCCGCACTTCTGCCCAGGACCCCCCGAGAGGCTGGCGCTCAGCGCTCACCCAAGACGGCACAGCCAGATGTGGGCCCCGGGAGGTCCCGGACCCTCCGCGGTGGGTGTTCCCTGGGTCACAGTGAGCTCTGCTCGCCGGGGTGGTCGCCCGTCTGGCCACGGCTCAGAGGCGAGCCGCGTGCCAGGCCGTGGGCGCGCCGGGGGTCCCATCCGGCCCCCCTTGGGGACCCTTCTCGGGGTCCGCTTGCTCACGGGCCGGTCCCCCGCCAGGTCCACGACTACCTTCGGAGCAAGCTCTGCTCGCTGTATGAGAACGACTGCATCTTCGACAAGTTCGAGTGCGCCTGGAACGGGAGTGACAGGTAAGCGGCGAGGACCGCCCACGCCACCCGCGGGGGGGGAGCCGCCGGCCTCGGAGGGATCTGGGCGGAGCATTGTGGGTGACCGGCCTGGTGGGTCGAGGCGTGGGGCGGGCGCCCCTTCTGAGTGCGCGGTCGAGGGGCAGGAAAACCAGCGCCGTCTCCTGGCACTACCCTGGCGCCGGCTCTGCGCCCGGGCCCGAGGCGGCAGTGGAAGCGCCATCAGTCGGTTCAGGGTCCCCCGACGGGCCTCCCCCAGCCGTCGATGGGGCGGGAAGGGTCTGGCCCCGGGCCTGGCAGCTGTCCATGCCTACGTGCCCCGAGGCAGCCCTGCCCCTCTGCAGCGCCTCTTTCTGGCAACAGCCCTGCCCAGGCCCTCTGGGCCTCCGGGCCCCTCCCAGGCCTCCCGGACCACTCCCAGGCCTGGCCATGCCCCCCAGGTCCAGCCGCCTCTCACAGCCCCGCCTGCCGGGGAAACCGCCCTGGCCCGCTGTGAGTCCTGCGACCCCAGCCTGGGCTCAGGCCGGTGGGCGTGGACCCGGGAGGCCCCAGGCAGGCGCCCCGGCATCCACCCACGGGTCCTGCCTCTGCGCCTCCTCGCCCTGTGCCCGGCACCCTTCCCGTCGCCTGGCAGGAGGAAAATCCCCCCTCCGCCCGCTCCTTCCAAATCCTGTTGGCCTTTTGCCCGGGTCCTACAGGGCGTAAGATGCCGAAACGCAAAAGCCTACTCTTGTAGCCGCAGAGCGTGGAGCCCAGCAGGGGGGAGGCGGCCTCTTGGGGCCTCCCTGCGGACTGGCTGCCTCCTGGTCCGGTCCGGCCTTTCCCGGGAGCTGGCGCTCACCTGCGTCCTGCTGCCGGAGGCAGGGGATGCTTAGTGCTCCGGAGAGAGCACACACGCGTGTTTGGATGAGTGCATCACTAAGGCTGCTGGCCCGGGCAAGAGAGCCCCGCAGAAGGGCAGGTCAGGGAGGGTGAGACGCAGGCACTTCGAAACCCGTCTGTTGCTGTCCCCATTGGTTTTGGCCGTGATACACATTCAGCCGGGCTCTGTGCCCGACACTGCCTCGGCCTCCCCTGCGCGGGTCCCGGACAGGCAGGGGCACGGTGAACCTCAGCACCTGGGGCTGCGGGCCAGGGATGCCAGGAGGGGGAGAGCCCCCCGGAGGCCACGCGGTCGGCGTCCCCCATGTGGGAACCCGGTGGCCTTTCTAGCCAGCCTGCCTGAAACCGGCAGCAGTTTCTGGAAGCGGGTCTCCAAATCCGGAAGAGGGCCACGGGCGACAAGACGGGGCAGGGTTAAAGGCCACACGGGCGGCGAGATTGGAATATGGCCCGTGCGGCGCCCCCTCCCTCCCCCTCGGGCCTGCCCGGGCTGGTGGGCGAGGAGGTGACGAGAGCTGCCAGCCTGGGGGGTGTGTCCGGCTGCATGGGTGGCGTCAGCCACGTGGCAGGCCTGAGCTTCTGAGGATGGCCAGGGCTGCCCGGCGGTGTGAAAGCGCCAGGCTTGGCCCTCTGTGGCTTTGGACGTGGCGGGGACGGGACAAGAGGGCGCCTGCAGGCGACAGGGCTGGGGCCCAAGCCATCGCGCCCAGGGGTGGAGGTTCTCGAGAGCGGCTCCTGCCGTCTTGGCCCCCCGGGCCCGCACAGTGGTCACAGGGCTCCAGTGGAGGACGCCCGGGAAACCAGGGTGAAGCCCGGCCTGAGGCTGGGTGGGCACGGCTGGGTCGGCCGCCCCCGAGGCCCTCTCTGCGGGTGCCCACCCCTGCCCTCCCCGGAGGCAGGGCGCCTCCGGGAATCGTGAGCTGCGGGCCCTGGCGCCCCGAGGGATCCCCCATGAGCACGGGCAGCGGGTCTCGGAGCCTATTAGAATCGCAGAAGAGGGGCCCGTGGCTGCAAAAAGGTGATTCCGGCCTGGCTGCTGTCTGTGTTGGGTGGGCGGTCCCGGCTGGTCGCGACCCGCTGCCTGTCCTTCCTCGAGGCGGCCGCCAGGGGGCGCTGGAGGCCAGGTGATGCCGCTCACCCGGCTCACGGGGTGCCCGCGCCCGTCCGTCCCT